GTCAGTAGGCCAGGTTTTTCTTATCTTCCCTATATCTTCTACCTTCTCCTTTGCCCGGTGAATGCATCACAACTAAAGTACTTTCTCTGGAGAGATGTTGGCTTTCATTTGTATTTTTCCATTTTGGGGCTTTGCTTCCCCTCCCTTTCAAGTTATCACCAATAGATACATTAAAGGCATCTGAAAAATGCGAATTGCTATTGACTTCCTTTTAAATGTTTATATAATCAAGTCTACTTGCATTCGCTATTTGCGGTGCCATGGAGAGAGAATTGTGAAAGTCCACTGACGTTTGCTGGAGCAATTCATTCATCTAGCAAAACACCCTGCTTATAGTGAAACTCTGCCCTACTGAAATGGACTTCTGTTGAGTTCACACTGTTTGAATTTGGTCATTAACATACTAAAATGGAATCTAGTCCCACGCTCCAGGAGATGAGTACTTCCTCCTCTCCTGTGGAAGTCAGCCCAAGTATGTAAAAAAGAGAATTTACCTTGGTTTCCCAACAGTCTTTCGAACCACAAGTGTCACTGCCCTGTGCAGATCAAAGCCGCCTTTGTCAACCTGTGAAATTTTTAACTGGGCTAGAATTCATCAGTTGCATAAGTAGTGAGGTGAGACGGTGCCTAAAGGAGGAGAGAAGCAGCTCTTCTGTGGCAAAAATCTACTTAAGGGACTTCAATCCTGTTAAAAAAAAAATTACTTAAAACATCAGTCCTTTGCAGTTCTGACAGATCTTGCAATGATCATTTGGAAGTTGCCAAAGCAAAACCCTCTGAAACCGTTTTTGTTACAGACCCAGGAGTTTGGAAGAAAATTAAGAGCACAAGGCTTTTTTTTTTTTTTTTTAATTTTCTTTTTTTTTTTAATGACAGTTCCATAGCAGACAAGTAGTTTGAGGGGCTGAATTTGAGTGTTTGAGATGCAACATTGCATATGAACTCCTCCACTCTTGCTAAACATTATAATCTTTAGCTTTTATTTAGCACTTTCCCCCTGTTAACTTTTATTTGCTTAGTCCATAGAAATCACTGTAATTTCTCCCATGAAAGTGGTAACAGGCACAGTGAGAGACATGTAGGCAGCTTCCAGACAGGCTGGAGAACCCAAGCGCTGTCTGTCCTTGGTAATGTGTCACCCGTTCAGCAGTCTTGCTAGCTCTCTTCAGAAGGCAGCATTGATCTACAAAGATGCTTGGGCCAAAAATAGTACTGAATAGTCAGATGCTTTAGAAAATCCATATTTGCATTAATCCATATATGCTTTACTGTGTTGATATCATGGTAATGCAGCATAATCTTCTTTTGGGACTGGTATCCTGACTTTTCATCCTCTCAGTTATTTAACTATCCACTTCAATATGGCAGATAACTGAAAAGTAGACTGTTCTTGTAATATAACCTTTAATTACTTGGTCTTCTGATTTTTAAGCTGAAAATATGTGGCATGAGTGAAAAATGGGATTGTTATGGTGGGCTTTTTTGTATTATGTTCCTTTCAGGAAGTAGCAACAAAAGTGACCCATCTCAAATTCCCCCTTTGTATTGTGAGACAAAAAAAACACTGAGGCTTATCAATTTCAACTGACCTACTCACCCACTTCCTCTTGGCTTCCATTGTACATGAAAACAGGTAGCAAAAAAAAACATTTGTTTGGAAAAAAAAAAAAAAAAAAGAGAAGCATTTAGAAATTGTGAAAGAGAATCTGCAGACAGGCTCTGGGAAAAACTGGGATTTTTCCAGGTTACGTAGATGCTAGACGTAAGCTCAGATTCATAACAAAGAAGCAGTTGGCATTAAATGAATATTGCCACAGCAGTATACACATCTCCAGACAATATTTTAAAGCAAAATGCAACAGTATGCACTTAGTAGTCTGTACACCAAATTTAGCGAGACACTGGATTAATGGGTAGTGGTTGTACAGCCAGTCAGAAGCAAAACAAACAGGTAAAGTGAGCAAAGAGGATCCCATGAAGTTCAAAGGAAAACACCAGGTTCCACACACAGCAGGAATAACCTTGCACCAGCACACGCTGGGGCCAAGCACCTGGAAAGCAGCACTGCGGAAGAGACCTCGGGGTACCTGGTAGATAAGCAGCTGAATGTGAGCCAGCAATGTGCCCTTGTGGCAGAGCAGGACCAGAAGCATCCCAGGCTGCATCAGGAAGAGTATTGCCACCAGGTCAAGAGACGTCTCCCACAGTACTGAGGAGACCACATCTGGAGTTGTATTTTTGCTTCTGGGCTTCCCAGAACCAGAAAGACACAGACATGTTGTGGTGAGTCTAGCAAAGGGTCAGGAAGATGTTTAAGCAATTGGATTATCTGGCATAGGAGGAGAAGGTGAGAGAGTCAGGTCTGTTTAGCTTCAAGATAGATCTCAGAGGGATCTTATTGATGTATAGCCCTGTGCCTACTGGTGGCACAGACCTCATTGTTACTCAGTGAAAGGACAAGAGGCAATGAGCAGAAAACAAAATACAGGCAACAATTTCTCGATTCCCAGTCTATTGAGGGAATAAAATATAGCATTTAACTCTGTACCATAAAACATGAGACACTTTCAACAAAAGTACCTAGTCATCCATGTGGATATGACCCTGCTAATGAATATAAATATTTTAAAACATTTCCCTTGAACTGGTCTCTTGACTAATTGCTTAACTGCATGAGCTGTAGTCATATGTAGCAATATTCTTTGATGTTAGGGTACACAGAAAAGGCTGTTTTACATCAAGCTGATTAAACAAAGTCAAAACTGACAGGCTGTATAAGCACAGCTCTCAGGTTTTTGGAAAAAACCTTTCTGAACAATAATTGAGCTGTAGTTCTGAGAATGGAGGTGACACAGTAAATAGTTTCAACTGTTTAACACTGTTATTAGCTTTGAACTGTTGAAAAAAATTATGAGAAAATTTCACTAAGAAGAATGAGCCGCAGGATTCCCTCCCTCCCTTTTGCTAGGGCTGCCACAAAGCTGTCAAGTATGTTAAAACTTCACATGGAAAACATTTACTACAATCTGGTGCATCTTATTATATAAATTAGGGACTTCTAGCAAGTCTGGTTAGCTACCTACACATTCGGGTAAGAAAGTCAGTGGAGATGAAACTCATCTTGAAGCATCAAGAGGAGACAAGGCCTGTTTGAGATTTTCTCTATGGAAATTTTTATCATGTGTAGCTTTCAAATAGTTGGGAGAGTAGCATTGCCTAAGTTGTTTGTGTTTTTGCTCAGGCTGCCTGTTTTCAGAGACCTGTCATTGCTTCCTGAGTGGGAAGTGAGACAAGGAAAAAACATTATAATAAAAATAATAAAAAACAAATATGGAGATATTCATGGTTGAGCAGCTTTGTTTTTGCTTTGCCTTCTAGCCACGACTCTAAAGGCTTAACATCATCTAAAATGGGGATTTCCACAGTTGGCTCAGGATTGCATATGCACTTGTATCACTAGAAGCTGGCTTAATGTAAGAAGGCAGAGTCCTCAAAAAGACCCCACAAATACCATATCATATACTAAACATTATATGTTATGGCCACACGTTTAAAGAAATAGTAATATTATACTGGTATCCTGAAGCGTGTCTAGTTTGTGCTTTTGACTCTAGGGATGTGGTGTTGTCCAGAACAGAGATAAAAATTCTTTTCCAGTGCCTGTTTTCTCCAGACTCTAGAGTAAGATGCAGAGAGCCAGCATGGAAATCTTCAGCTAAACTTTGATATTGTCAGATGTTAAATGTTTAAGTTTTAAGTTATATACAATAGCTGTTGTCATAACTATAATAGGTAAATTAAACCTGGCAGCCTGTTGTGGTTTACCTCCAACAGGTAGCTCAGTACCATACAGCCACTTGTTCACTCTCCCCAGGTAGGAAGGAGAGAATCAGAAAGGTAAAAGTGTGAGAACTTGTGGGTTGAGATGAAGACAGTTCACCAGGTAAAGCAAAAGCTGTGTGTGCAAGCAAATGAATTTGCTGCTTCCCATCAGTAGGCAGGTGTTCAGCCACTTCCAGGAAAGCAGGGCTCATCACACGCAACAGTTTCTTGGGAAGAAACAACATCACTCCAAACATCCCCCCTTCCTCCTTCTTTACCCCAGCTTTTTTTACTGAGCATGATGTCACACGGCATGGAGTATCTCTTTGGCCAGGTGTTTCCTCCCAGCCCCTTGTGCACCCCTAGCTTCGTCACTGGCAGGGCAGCATGAGAAGCTGAGAAGTCCTGGCCTCTGTGTAAGCAAGCACTGCTCTGCAACAACTAAAACATCAGTGTGTTATCATCCCTATTTTCATCCAAAACACTGCATCATATGAGCCTCTATGAAGAAAAATAACTCTTATCCCAACCAAAACCATGATACAGTCCAATTTGTGTTGTTACATGTGGCTTCCAAAAATTAAAGTTATCTAATTTTGTATGTTTTTTCCCCTGTAGGTCCCTCCTTTCCCCTTCCCCTCTCCCCCCCCAAATGTAATCAAGAAGATGAAGTCAGAAGTTCATGTGCTTTTTTGAAGAGCAATTGCTCAACTTTCCTGTCCTACATCTTATATTGAATCAATCAATCAATAAATAAATAAATATGGAACTGTGTTCTTACTCAGATCAGGTATAGCACAACTCAAACCTCACCATGCTCCTGTAGTTGTGGTGAAGACTCAGTTCCTGATGCTTTCAGAAAGCATGGTAGAGTCTCTTTGTGGTGTCATGTTGTGATGCCTGTGTTACTAGCACACAACAGATGGAAATAAAAGTAAGTGAAGCAATCAGACAGGCTGACAGCAGTGAAAGACAACATTAACTACAACCATTATGTCACAGTTTATTAATAACAATTCTAAGTCTAATTGAATTTAAGACTTTACAAGCAAAGGTTTATGAGCTTCCTAAAGCTTGGTGTACAAGGAACACAGTGCTGAGCCATCATTACACACTTAGTCCATACCCTTTCTATTGTATTGTAATAACTTCAAAAGTCTGAACAATGTTTTATTCAGGAAGAAGATTCCCAAAGAAAGTGACTTCTCAGAAGCTGTTTGGAAATAAGGAGCTCAGCAGAGGAGAGAGAGTGCATATACATGTATGAAGATGAAAGAGTGGTGCAATAGTAAGAGGTAAGTTCTTTTGAGACACTAAAGAACCTTCTTGTCATTAGGTTCAAGTTTCATGCTGCAGCTGTAATACACTTGAGTTTAAAATGCTAGATGCAAGTCAAAATTCTTTAAGAAGTCATACTCTTTTAGTTTCATCACTGCTGGAGCTACTTATAATTCAAATAAGCTTTTAATCCAATATATCCCAGCTGTTCTTTGTCTCACCAAAGTTCAGCTGTGCTTGACTCCACTTTTTTTTTTGTTTACAGAGCAAAACCAAACAATAAGAGAAAGTCTACCATAATGATTTAACCTATATTCCCATTCTTCTTTGCCAAATAGATTATCTATTTAACCAAAAAATGTACTACGTTCCTTCTTTTTGTCAGTGTTCACAATTACCAATATCAGAGTGCAGCAAGAACAGGTTACTCTGCAAGGGAAAGTGAGCAGGAATCCACAAGGGACAGGGTGCAGGCAGGAGCAGTGCACTTACCAGCAAAGGCTGCCATACCTAAACAAGAGGAGCGGAGCAGGCTTGGGGATTACCATGCAAGTTCTGAGCAAAGAGGCAGGTCTGAGGGCAATTCCAGATCAGCTCAGCACAAATAAGCCAACAATGTAGTACAGAGGAGCAAGAAGAAAACAAACCAAAACAAAAAACACCAAAGCCATAAGCTTAAACATGGTTCCTGGGCCAGTGGGCCAACAGCACATGGGTGGTGGCCCCAGATAGTGCTGATAAGGGTAACTGAGGGGCTGTTGGTGTTCTCAGGGCCCTGACAGAAGATAAATACATGCAGCCATAACTTTTCTTAATAGGTTGGTCCTTTAAAAGTAGTGGTTATATAAAGGGGTTTAACCTGGAGTTGTTAGGTTGGAATGAGTTTTCTATTTGTAGTTGTTTGGTAGGATTTACTTCTGAATGTTTAGTACTCTAAGTTTAAGAATAATAGTTTTAATAGTATTGTGTTGCTTTTACATTTCTGACTAGCAGTTGGTCAGAGTAAGCTACAGAGTTTAATATCATTGTCTCTTCTTAAAAAGTCTCTAATTTTAATACTCAGCTTATTTTCTCCTTTATCTTTTTGGTGATACTCCTCCCCTTTTGCCAGGGGAGTTTTCGCCAGGGGAGTTTTAGGTTGGATGTTAGGAAGAACTTCTTTACCGAAAGGGTTGTTAGACATTGGAACGGGCTGCCCAGGGAAGTGGTTGAGTCACCGTCCCTGAAGGTCTTTAAAAGACGTTTAGATGTAGAGCTTAGAGATATGGTTTAGTGGGGACTTGTTAGTGTTAGGTCAGAGGTTGGACTTGATGATCTTGAGGTCTCTTCCAACCTAGAAATTCTGTGATTCTGTGAAAAATTGTGTTATGATATACTGGTGAATAGTTTTTTTTTCCCTTCTTAGTACAGGGACTGTTTTGCAGATACTGCATGTTTCCCATCTGTGATATGAGTGTTTCCTCTAGAAAGATAATTTATTTAGAGGAACTTCACCAGCATGTGGAAAGCCACGAGGGAAGAATCTGATGAAAACAGGCTTCTTTAAATTATTTCTAATAGGTTTCACATGACTTATATTCTTCCTAAACTAGGAGTTAATGCGTTGTGGTCTGCTAGAGACTCCTGGAGATGAAGGCTTTGTTCTTCTGTAATAATAGGTCTGATCAGTGTGTAGAATCACAAAAGGGATGAATGGTATCAGGTTTGACATGAGAATGGTGTTCAGACAACATTGTGTCTTCCTACAAAACTGTCTACAGGCCTCTGTGCTGGTTGGCAGATGGAGGAGGATTATCCTGTTCAAGAAGCTTCCTATTCAGTGAGTTAAACAGTGACCCCTCACAAGTCTGCTGACTACTGCTTGATTTGCGGTGGTAGAAGCTAATACTCCATGCACAGGGTGAGTGTAATGAAATGAGCAGAAATACATAAAGCAAATGAAGATCATAGAATCATAGAATATCCTGAGTTGGAAGGGACCCTTAAGGATCATCAAGTCCAACTCTTGACACCGCACAGGTCTACCCAAGTTCAGACCATGTGACTAAGTGCACAGTCCAATCTCTTCTTAAATTCAGTCAGGTTCGGTGCAGTGACCACTTCCCTGGGGAGCCTGTTCCAGTGTGCAACCACTCTCTCTGTGAAGAACCCCCTCCTGATGTCAAGCCTAAATTTCCCCTGCCTCAGCTTAACCCCATTCCCGCGGGTCCTGTCGCTGGTGTTAATGGAGAAAAGGTCTCCTGCCTCTCGACACCCCCTTACGAGGAAGTTGTAGACTGCGATGATGTTGAAAAATAACTTATTTCTCTTATGAATTCGTATATTGATATTGTAACACATTACATACTACTTGGAAAACACAATCTTTCAAAGAAATACTAAACATATTTTGAAAAATCAATGTGTATGCTGAATCACATAGACAATGATGCTTGGTTTCCTGAGGTAACATGCTAGTTTGAGCATTCTAATCTAGGAACTGAAAAACCTATCTTATTTTTAAATAAATGAAGTTCATGGTACTATATGCAAAAAAATAAAAAGGTACTAGAGAAAAACTATTTTTGTTTTACTTCCCTGCATCCCATCATTACTCTAATTTTGTCCAGCTCACCACATTACCACTACTCTCTCTCATCTTTCCCATATTGTGAAAAATGTCCTTGAATTTTCTTCCTGCTGTCTCATCAGTGGGGTTTTCTGGTAAATTTTTGTAGCCTTACTTGCAAAACATCCACTTTCATTCTGAGAACATGGGACCTATTTTTAGATTTAGCTAACAGGGAAAACTGTCCGTTTCAGCATTAATTAAGAGTGTGTACTGTAGCAACTGTTTTTCCTTTATATAGGTTCTTCTTACAAGTTTAAACTCGAGAGGCTTGCTAGTATTTCATACATATGGCAGAAAATAAGGAATAATACAGATTAAAAAATAGGGTGGAAAACTGTTTCTGGCCCTAGCCTTGCTGGGCTGTATTGTGTAGCTGCTATTTTCTCTTGCTGCCTTTTCTGCAAGTTTGTTCTCTCTTCCCTTGCATTACCTCATTGCTTGGAAGAACTGTTAACTGTGGCTGAAGCAAAGCTGAGGTGCAGTTACAGTGCGTGAAAAGATTCTGCTGGTAGGTTAGGGAGTCTCTGTAGCAGCAGAGAACAGATTGGTATAAAGTGAAATGATACAGAGAAATACAAACGTTTGAAGTAAAAAGTGCTACCAAACCAGTGGTAACAACAGTGATATAGTAGGGCAACAGTAGCAGGTGAGCAGCAGTAGCATAGTGAGCAAGAAGATAGCATTTCCTAGAATTATCTATGGAGAGTTTTAAATGCTTGATCTGGATTTTGAGATTACTTCAGCATTGTAAGCTGAGAAAGGGAACAGAAACTCTTGGTTCTAGGACCAGAAGAAGTTTTTTAAGGCCATAGGAGGCAGAAAGGTTAGAGGATGCCAGCAGGCGTCTGGGAATGTGATGGACAAAACATCAGGATCCTTACAGAACTGCAAAACTGTGGGACCAGCTTACAGGAAGGGTCAGTTCTTTAGTTTATGTGTTTACAGATGATTCTCTTCAGCTTTCTATCAGATACAGCTTTCATTGATGTATTTATGCAAATCTCACAAGTGAAGTGCACTGTTCAATGAAAGGCTGGGAATTATCTGAGTGTGCCTGCAGTAGAGATAATAATTGTCTTGAGGACTCGGCTGTGACTTGAACTGAAAGGACTACAGTCAGGTTGGTTAAAATAAACCCGATGGGCTGGAGAGTTGGATGGGACTACTGGAGAGGGCAGTTTGAACCTGAATGGATGTGGTGGGAACTGTAGATGAAGGTGGTGTATTTGTGTTGTCCAGCATATAAAACTGGGGAGAAAAAAAAAAAAAAGTGGATAAATGGTAGGAGCAGGAGAACATGCCTCTCATTTTAGCAATGGTAATGACCCATTCTCAGATGGTGATAGTAAAATTATTTGTGACTCAGAAATCAATACTAGAACTTCAGTACAAATCAATAATTCGACAAAACAATTTTGTCAAGTTATTTTGACAAAAACAGGTATCGGAATGCTTGCATAAACTGTGGATTAAAATACTTTCTAACCCTAAAGTAACCAATGAGACTCTTAAATATATTTCATTCAACTGTGAATTGTTTGCAACCAAAAGTTCTCAAAAAGCAGCTGAAGAGATCTCTTGTCTTTGCCAAGTACTTTTTTTAGAGTACTGGTGGTAATCCATTCTTTGGATCCAGAAAGATTTCGTTTTTTTTTTTTTTTTTTTCCAAAAAGTCTACTAGACAAAACTTACTGAATTTATCAACTAAAGATAAAATAAGTTGAAAATGTAGCAACTTCCATATTGCTTCTAGAGGGGGGGATGATATCACACCAGTCACGATAGGCAAATGTTCCATGGATCTAGTAAGTTTGAATCCCATTTAAAGGAAAACATTCAGGAATGCTAAGTGAACGTATGTACTTACTGGTACGGAGTATGCATTTGCTGGGTGTTGGTAAGGTAATCTATTTATCCCAGCTTTCTGGAATATTTTTACACTTAGCTTTACACTTAGCTCTGAGGAATGTTATGAATATAGTGCCAAGATGGCAGAAGTACAAAGTGTTGTACAAGTATAAATTTGGATTATATTACTTGGCTCAAACATGAAATATTTTGCAGGCATTAAATGTTTTGTAAAACTTGCAGAATTCTGTGAAACCAAAACAGCATTGGTCTTTGTGCCAGGTTTCAAAGAGCAAATGAAGATGTAACTACAGATGAGTCTGCTTGACATAAGTTTTGAGTTAAATCATTGGAAAGTGTGGAAAAGGTTCAGCTGAGAAAGAATCAGAATATATTGTCAGCTGACATTTTGACAGAAAATATTTATTTAGGAGGAAATTAACTTCATTCTTGGAGATTGTAGTGTCGGGGGCAGCTGCATAGCTAGAACAGTTTTGTGAAAACCTTTAGTTTGACATGGCATTTCGAATAAGAAGTTTTACAAAGGTAAACATATTT